TACTTAGGAGACTGAAAAATGTGAACATTAACACGGAAGAGCCACTGCAGCTGATGTTTGAAGAACGAAGTGCCTGTCGGAAAACAAAGAGTGAAAGAGAACTTTAATTATTAATGATAATGAAGAACGATCAGAAGAGGAACAGGACAGATGTTCTGCAGCCGGGAATCAGTGTAAACAGGACGAGTGAGATGTTTCCTAACAAGGGAACTTCTCTTTACAGCTGCCCGCACAGTGCCGTGGCCATAGAGCTGCAGACTTTAAAAATGTGGCTATTGCTTAACATCATCTAGCACAAACGTGGAACTACTACTGAACTCAATTAAGTCTAGTCGGACCTATCACAGAGCCTCGAACCTTTCCTTTATTCCGTACGACAAACGAATTCGCTAGTGTTGAAAAATACGATGGTCTCCTTTACTGCCAATTCATAAACGACGCTGCCAGTGACTAGCACTTTACAGCATCGAATGACGGGGTGATTAGTCAGTAATGAATGATGAGTTGGGAAGGAAGTCGTCGTGACATAATTTTAGGTTCTGTCGAGGCATTTGCCTGGAAGGACTGAGAAAAATTACGAACTCAAGTCAGGATTGGTGTCTGGGTCTAGATTCGATACCGAGTCCTCTCGAATACAAAGCAACTTCTCCAACCACTCAGCCGCGACGTTTTCAAACATAAAAATATTGGGCCTCTTTTTTATTGTATTATACAACAATTATGTTTTTGATTTTTTTTTACAGAATTGTGACCTTTAGTTGTTAGGAGTGGTTGTTTTTGTGGTGGCTGTTCTGATTATGGATGTATCGATTTTGGTGATTTTTCTGCTAGTGACGGTTGTGTTGGTACTTAAAAATAAGTAGTCATATGAATTGTGTTGGTAATTTCAACACAAACAGCTATTGTGATGTTGACATTTGTGCTGATTACAATGGGAGTGGTGATAATGGTGACAAATGCAATCATCATAGTCACACCTGAGGTTGAATTGATGGAGGTTAATTTACTGGGCACGGGTATTGAAGAAGTCAAAGAAAGTACTTTACATTCTTCCAGCAGTATCAATACCAGTTGAGCCATTTCGGTATTTTGAAACATCATATCCCTTAGTCTTACATCAGCGTTGTAATTACTACTTGTACGACCAAGCCGCAACTCTAGTAACACTTTATCGATTCTTATAGGAAAACTGCGTGATAATTATCGATTGTCGTTATTAAGAGACAAAAGTTTTGGGAGAAGTTTGAATAAAACAGGCCATTGGTCAGCAGGAGAATGAACTAATAAATTAGAATATATCGGATTGATATATAAATACAGAATGTGAATTCAGAATACGACTGAAAATTCTACATTCTTAATATAAAACATATACTAAGCCGAACAGGCAGAATGCAACCTAATTAAATGGTTCTAATTTAAAGATATTTAATGTCAGGATTGATACTGCAAACATCAGTGGCTGTTACTGTTTGCAGCGTCAACATTCAGCACTGTGATTGTGCATCATTACACTTACAGACGTTCTTTAAAATTCTGAATAAAAGTATTATATATTATTCCAAGATTCATCAGAAGACAAGAGTTTCATAAACAGGGTCGTCTAGAAATGAACCTCAAATTTATCTCATAACTACTTAATAAATTCAAGCACTCCTTATTCCTTAAACTTTATTGAAAGAAATTGTTTGCAGAGACATTTAAAAACTATTACTTAATCTTAAATGTAACGTCTCATGATAAGTAACATCAACGCATGACGTAATCTATCACAATAAATCATTCTTTTGTTAAATGTTTAATGCATTTAGACCGACGATACAGGTCTCCGCGAATCTTACGCGGCAGGTTGGCGTATAATAATTCAATTCAATTCAGTTAATCTATTCGTCTGCGTGACAACAGCCTAGCAAGGGCAATTATAGTCAGGCACAAATAATATTAATATAACCAGGATTCTTCGTCTTACAGCGTATCAAAAGAAGCATCAAACGTGTGGAGCTACCTCAGAATATTTACAAATAGTTTCAAAAACAATAAATCCCCACTCCCAACAAGCATATATCTAAATACGAACATGACACTTTATATAACAGAATTATGTTATAAAATTAATAAAAACAATCAATTTATGTTAATTATTTCTGTCGTACTTAAGTAAGCTTACATGTATGCATACAACTGTTAATATTTTAAGTAACCTGTGCGTATTAATCAAACCTGTCTATTATTGTTTAGACTAAAATAACAGGAATTTCATGCTTGTTGTATTGAAGTTTCACAGTAATGATGGCTGGAAGGTATGGACAGAAATCAAAGATTATTTATATTACTGGGACATCAGTAAACAAGGAAACTGCGCGCAAATACAAAGCGTAGTTGTTAGTCTCGTGTTTCAAAATCTGTTTGCGAAGCGCCTTTTAATAACGTGTAAATGTCACTCAAAATTGTGCATAGCTTAATAACATGTGAATATATGTGAAATTTTTATACAAATAATCAAATTTGTATTGTCCTTTATTTATAACATGTAAGATTTTAATACTCGCACATTGAAATGGCTTAAATCTAAATTTTTACCTTGTACACTTGGGAAATAATTTTGACATAGCTTTGGTAATATTTGTGCGAGGTGCATAAAGATTATGGACAAGCTATTTTCATGTGTTTCCGCTATGTTTATGTGGGTCGTCACAGCAATATTTTCGAGATGGAAAAAGTCAGTCAATAATGAAAACTGAAAAACAGTAAAGAAAGAAATATACAACAAAAATTCTCGTTTGTGACGTACCGAGAGTAAATAAGAATGAAAACCCTAGACCCACTGAACTCCCATTATACATATTGTATTAGGAATGTTAACTATGGGATGGACAATCAGGGCCTCTGACTGCTCGTACACTGAGGTCACTAATTTGAATCTGTTCTCTCCTGCGTAACTGAGCTCATCTGCAACATAATATCTACACAAATTCCAGTGGAAGTACCAAATGGTATAGAAAATATACAGGATTAAATCACTGAAGTGCGTATCAGTCAACAATTTCAGAGACACAATCCTTATCGTTATTATAAAATTACGTTTATTTCGTTCGAACATAGGATGAAACTTATGGTTTCACGCTGAATTAATTTAGAGGGCACCATTTTGTTATCATAACAATGTATTTTACACGATGTTAGCTATAAAATTGCTTGATTAGCAATCCTCCACTTACTGGAATGATAATGATAAACCGACTACTTTCTGACTCGTAATAGTCCATAATTCGTAGTCTATATTAACCGCCCATAGGTGTGTGCCTCAGACATATAACTCTGTTAAATCAAATGTTGCCATCCATGTCTCTGAACAAGTTAAAAACAAAACTTACAATAAATAACGCGATCCAACAGACAAGGTTTAGATCGGATAATTCAGTAATTCATTATTCTACGAACGAAGTGATCAACGGACTTGATATACGCTGGGCTGCAGAACCGCCAGGATTACCAAGTAGACAGCCGTCGGCTCAACATTGGTTTGCACTCCGGTTAATTAACAGTGGACACATCCGCCTACAGTACCCGTCCTGCAGCTACAGCAACACACACATCATGTGTACTGAAGGTCAGTCGACATAGTCAGTGTGACATTGAGAAGAAAAAAATACGAAAAAACAGATGTGTTCTAATGGGCCAGAAATATGGGCACAGCCTCCTATGCACATATATATCTTCCTGTTGGAAGTTTGAGCGGATTGTCAATACGAATGAAATTATATCTTTCTCACAGCCACTTCAAACTATATTAAATTTGGTATATTAAATTTAGAATATGTGTTTTAAGAGGGCATTTTAACATTACTAGAAACGTAGTGTAAATAAACATGCACGTGTGGGTGCAAGGTCAAACCGCTGGTGTTTTATCGACAAAGTTTAAGGTCAACTCCCTATTAATACAGGTTTAAAGCACTGTGTAACGATTACCCACACTCCAAAAAATATATTCACATTTAAAAAAATTACACCAACAGTTATGTCCAAACACTGGGCCTACTTATTCCACTACACTTGCATATTAAGGTCGGAAACAGTCTAACAACATTTGGAGAGAAAAAAATGTGAATGATACACAAGGGTTTTTAGATTTACCTCAGTTGTATCTTGGAACACGCTGGAAAGTCGTTCATTTTTTATAGGATCTACTTATACAGACTGATTCAGTGTTCCGACAGAATACCCAAGGGCAGATCATTAGAAGCAGAAAATGTAAATAACCTTTTTCAGATTCGTCACCGTTTAACACTAAGTTTCTACGACGATGTAACTCTGAATAATGTTGATCATTTGACGTGGCGCTCATCGCTGATACTCAAAGTAGTAATAGCTCGACTGAGACGAACAGAAAGTACTCAAAAATAAGTACCATGAAATTACGATTTAAAATTGCTACAAATGCCTGATATTTCTTTTCTTTATTGCAAATAAGGAAATCAATTAATATGCTAAAACTAACTGCTCCTCTCTTGTGAAAGTCGACAATAACAGTAATGAGATATAACAACGTGAAAACCGTCGTAGCTCTGAAATAGTGGAAAATCCGAAGACAAACTTTATTTTTGCTCAAAATTGTCTCAAACCTCCCCACCTCCATCAGGTATTGCACTAGGGCTCTGAATAAATATGTATGGTTGCACTGCATGAATAATAACAGGATATGCAGGGTTAGACTACCGATATAGGTCTATATCGAACTTTGCAGCCGAGTGGTTAGATCTCCTGCCTTGTAGTCGGAAGGTCAGGATCTCAAATCTCGGCCCGGGGGCTATCCTTCCAGGGAAATGTTGACGTAGTACCTTAAATTATTCCAGGAAAGATTATGTCCATATGATTTCCAGTTCATTATTTATTCATAATCCTGCCTTTCGACGTTTTATAGTTCGAGTTACTGACAGCGTTGTTACATACAGCACAAATAAACACAAATCGATGTGGATATGGTCTGAATTACAACTTACCTCCTCTCACCTCACACGTCAGGACGAGGTCACTGCCTTCAGTAAGTGGGCCCACAACAGGTGTGCTCACATCACGCCCCGAATTTTGGAAAATGAGCAGTTGGTGTGGTGGAACTGTAATTCAGAATAAATACTGTTAGTATTTAAATTTCGTTAACACCATTAATCGCATGCACTAAGTAGTCTGAGATTCGCTTCTCGGTTACAGCTATGATAACAGCGTCTCATTTTTTGTACTATCGTAGACAGCTGCACACCTGCGTTAATTTATAAAGCGCTATTTTGACAACTAAAATTGTACCGAATCTCATACCAGGGAAAAATGGTTAATTAACCTTCAACATTTTAAAATTTCTGCAGTCTGAGTTTACACTCTCATAAAGTATGTTTTAATATCAACGTATAAAGGACGTTTCTGTGTTGTAAGAATTACGTACACGTAAAATGGTCACGTTTATTTTAAGAAATGTAGGAAGAATCACTATAGATTCTACGGAGAATCGGTGTAATATAAATGACGACACAAAATTTGCAGAAAAAATAGTTAATGTTTGAGATCATTAGGGTGAGAAAGTAATGCTGTGTACCTTACTTTACTTTACACTTACAGGCTTTTATAAAATTATACATGGGGAAATGTTACACTTTCATTGTCCGATTCACTTCCACAAAAAAGTAATCGTCTTCAAGACTTTTGAGTATGTTTTTAAGCACGCGACCTCAACTGCCGACGTGCCTATTGTGCAGATGTCAAAGTCAGGACTCAGTATAAACTGATTGTATTTTAAAAATATTTTTTTCAATTTTGTTATTCTCTTTGCCGCAGATTTGTGCTGACGGTATGCAATAATCACGCCATTAAGCTTGCAAGACCGAACTGAAATGGTCCTATTGTGTGGACGTGACGGATGGACACAGAGAAAAATAGTTGCCGAGTTCAATGTAACCATCCGGAAACCATCCGTTCGTCCGAGACACTTGGAACATAGGCAACAGTTCGATTTACGTTAGTGATAAATAAAACAAGTATTTCGAAGGTAACTAATGCACGATAGCAAGATTGAAGGTAATAAATTATTTAACTTTTGTAAACAAGGTGATGAACATTCAAGTTCCATAAAGAAACTGAGATATTCTTTGACAAGCCGAGTATACAACTTTTCAAAGAATATCCTACATCACATACTGAGTGAGTGAATAAATTATTTATAGGTTATGGGCTGCATGCCCCAAACCAAGTGGGCTTATCAGGGTTACTCTGAACGTATTAAAATATGCGTAGACAAATTTAAATATTCTCCTAACATTTATCTACAGGGACTATGGCACTGTGGAATACTTTATCAAACCCTCTAAGCCGAAGTTCGTCTAAACAATATTAAGACTCCAGTTCGTACCTATAAAAAAGGGTTCTGTGTCACAAATGTCAACTGGTCACTGTGTCTGAGGGAAGAAATTCCTGTTTATAGTGAGAGTCCTAACGATACCCATAAATAAAAAATGCAATTACTGATTGTTGAAACAGATGGGATTGTGTTTTGTGATGGGGGGGGGGGGGTCCCCCCACAGACAAGCTACAAGGCAGAAATACTGTTCAGCTCGTTGTAACACTGATTAAGCGTAATAAACATTGCAACAATAATCTTGGTATGGATTCCAAATGTATAAAATGAAAGACTCATCACGAACTAAAACGAAGAACGTTGTATGTTCCACCCAAATAGGCTATTCTTGCATCAAAATAATGAACAAGTGCATTATTGATACAATAAAATTTTTAATTCAAGAGGTTATGAATATTTTGTCATTTACGAGTTAATGACCAGAATATTGCAGTATGCTCTTTTGTCATCAAAAAACATTTGTGTTAGAACGACCACCATACCATCCCATAACATATAAAATACAAACTGCTCTTGTGTATAACAATCATAAAACGTTCTGTCCATCGTGTGGTAGAGTTGGTATACGCAATATTTTAGATGTGGTCAGTCATCCCATAGCCTACAAACAGAAAACGGAGTTTCGGGAGTTTGATCTACCACCGCCTTCGTGCGTTCTGTTTGGAAAGAAAAGGGAAAAGAAGAATACTCTTCTGTAGTTTTCATACTTACAAAGACAAATGGGGGCTGGATTTAATGTAATATTTCATAATCTACAAGCATAAATGATGGTTTAGAAGACTGATATGTCCCAGTGTTTAGAAAAACTGTAATTGCACTCATCCTTTATAAAACTACCATTTATTGAGCAGAATACAAATCAGACTTTTAATTTAACAACAGAATACAAATAAAACAAATATAATGTGTACACATAAAATACAGACGAACCACCCAAAGAGAAGAATGGTGGATCAGCAGAACAGTCCTAGGCACCTCTGTCGGTTCTCTGCCCCAATTCTAAGCCACAAAAAGACTGACCTAATTTAGTCCAAAAAAGTAGGAGAGACGTTACGCGTCCGACCACCGGGCAGATACTGACTCACACCGCATCGCAAAACAGGAGGAGACGAGGGAGCACTCTGACGGGAAATGGCAAGGTTAGACAGAACAGGTTGATAGAAAGGAAAGGCACGAAAGTACAGAGTGGGACAAAGGTAACGTCACAAAACAGAGAATGAAAATACACAATCTTTCAAGTGAACTGTATGCAAAACCAAGTAAACTTCTTAGCTAAAAGATATCACGTTTGCTTTGAAAAATAAATTACATTCGATCTCACATGTTTTGTTGTTTAATTCGATTTCAGTATATTTACTCTTTCTAATATTGTTTAAACTCTCTTTATCGGCAGGATGCATATGAAATTAATATAATATAATCAACGGTATTCTTTTTCCCTTCGTAACATTCGTTCATTGCAAAGCAGAACAAGTCACATACTGTTCAGAAAGTCACCGTTCTTGTAATCAGAATTCTGATGTGCACTGTGTACAGAAAAAACCTTTCCTGGCCGACTGAGTCTTGCCGGTTGCGTCTGTGGATTGTTGAGAACTGCAGCTCGAACTGAAACTCTGCTTGCGGGTCATGTACAGTGAGTCAGCCATTCTCTTCACTGGCGCTCCTGCTGCTCAGTTAACTTAAAGGACTTACAGACAAACTTGGCGTAAAATAATCGTGTTTATTTATTCCGTATCAAATTACAACTTAAGGGCATCTTATTCAAGCTGTAGGGTAGTGAAATATATGAGGATACCAGCAGAAAGAGATAAAGAACATACAACCCTGCCTAGAGACCTATTCGAAAATGTAACCCATTTAATCCACTGATAGGAGACTTTGCGAGCATCAGACCGTGAAGTCACAGTGTTACGTTTAGCACTATGAGAATATAAAGAATGGGAAGCAATGTTTGTTTCCCATAATACTGAGTTTTATCGCGAACCAAATATGGGTTCGTACACAAAGATTGTGTATCCTCAAAACCTCGCTCATAATCGCAGAAATTTATTTCATTGTACTTATAGAATTTTAACGAAAACTAAGTTGATCATTTACCTGACAAGTTTATTACCGTTAAACAAATTGGAAGCAGAAAATTGTATTTAAAATTAACTTTTATAGATTAATACTTTACTTTTTAAGAGCTAGAAGGGTCTCACTCATCCACTCACTCTATAGAGCACGGCTTGTCAAAGAATAAACACATTCTTTATGGAACCTGAAGGTTCATCACCGTGTTCACAAATGGCTCCCACCGGACTCTATCTTGAGGTAACTGCTTCCAGTTCCCTCCATCGAGCCCTCTCGCCCTAAGGTCCAGCTTAACGTCATCCTCCCACCTTCGCCCAGGTCTTCCAATATTATTGCAGAGAAGTATATAATCAGATTAAAGTTATTAAATTACCATGTTTCGAAACTACCAATTACAATTTCTAATAACAGATCATGGAATTGATAGTAACCATAATGTGTTATTAAAATACTTTTATATCCCTAAAATTACCCCACCTCTACTTAGGGCGTAATGTATTTGGTCACTAAGTCAATACTGCAGTACGAAAATAAAAGTCTGAAGAATGGATCTTATAGAAACCTTTTTCTGCATTGCAGTAGTGCAACAGATTGAACAAAACTGAAAGAATTCTTACTAGAGATGGCGGATTTGGCCATGGGTGGAATCCTGTCTTTCAGTTCATCGAACAACGCTGACCAACAGTTCAAGAGGTCATGCTGTCTGACGTGCCCCAGGAGAGTCTCAAGAAGCTGGAAAGAGGTCAGGAAACCCGATCCAAATCGCAAAGGAAGACACTAATTGCTCAGAAGGAAAGAAAACCACTTTCCCCATTTCACAACCTTAAAACCCAAATAACAGTTCAAATGCTAATGACTACGAAATACAAAATACATATGTCTATCGTATTTTAAACATTTTCGCAGTTTTAAAGCTCTTTTATTTCTAAATCCCCGTAAATACTAGCGTCGAAGATACGGATTTCTTTGATGATCATGAAGAATTAAAACCGTCTACAACTCTCATAATTTAGAAATTAGGCAGCTAATGTGTCCAGCGTCACCACTACATCCAGGCGTCAAATCCTATCACAATTACCAGACTCTGGTTTACAACTCACATTCCAGTAACAGCTCTAGTAAAGCCTTACTAATTCTGGTTTTTTTCTATCCCATAAGTTAGTAAGAATACGTATTTCCCTTTCCGAAAAAAATTCCCTTCCTGATATGGTTTTGTTCAAATAAACTGTATTGATATAATGAAACAGTTTATTATTACGACAGTCTTATGAATGAACATTTTGATTTACCACAATAGAGCCATACTCGCTTAATGTATTAAATGGCTAGGAAAACTTAATGAAGATACGTCGCGATTTTCCTATACAGACAGGTTAATATCGCCTACCAATCGCATGGGAACACAGGAAAGGAGAACACTGAACTAAAGGACCTTTATATATAAAATATTCAGATTCCTACAAGAGGTGAAGACTATTCCATGAATATATTTTGATACCCTATGTAAGTGTGGCTGCACTGAAGAACGGGCCCTGTGGCTGACTCTGAAATGCTTCATTACGTAGAATGTTTCCTTCCCTTGTCTTCATTTTGCATTAGTCCCATCATTCTTCATTACTGAATTACACATAAACTTCA